CACTGTGGAAACTGTATGGAGATACCTCAAAAAACTAGGACTACAGGTCCCATTTGACCCAGCTATTCCCCTGCTAGGAATCTTCCCCAAAGAATTAAAAGAATCATACCACAGTGATATATGTGCACCTATGTTTGTAGCAGCACAGTTTGTAATAGCTAAAGCTTGGAAACAGCCCAGTGCCCATCGATTGGAAACTGGTTAAAGAAGATGTGGTTTTTTAATAAAATGGAGCACTATTCAACCATAAAGAATGAGAAACTAGAGACATTTATAGATAAATGGATGCATATTGAGGCCATAATCTTAAGTGAAATAAACAGGACATGCATGTGCAAATACCGAATAGTTTCTCTTGTGTGAGAAACTGAAAGTGTAAATAACGATGAAAATGATTAAAATGAATAATTGATAATTTGAAATAAGAAAAGGTCCAAGGGTTTGGGGATGGTAGAAGGAAAAGGGGAAAGGGAACAAGGGAAAGAAAAAATTATGAGAAAAAAATGGAATCAAACTCTGTGTAAATAGGGAACGGTGGAAGGGGTGAAGGGTGCACAGGTAATGGGAGAAAAAAGAAAAACTAAGATACATCATGTTCTGGTACGAACACCCAATGATAAATGTAAATGTATTTTATACCTAAAATGTACCAACAAATATATATATTAAGTTGTTTCAGGCATTGTGTATCAGAGTGAAGAAAATTCACTAATACAATTAAGTCATCTCATCTTCTACAATGTAGATTAATAAATGGAGAAAACATGAAGTATAGGAACATTTATATTATGTTTTCTACATAAAATGAACCTTAAATAAAAGTTTTAAAATTAGGGGGAGAGAGCCAGGGATTTAGCTCAGTGATGGTGCCACCTGCCTCGCAAGCACAAGGTCCAGAGTTCAATCCCCAGTACCAAAAGAAAATAAATAAATAAAAGTTAGGGGGAGCATAAGTGCATTTATGAAAGAAACAGAAGATAAATTTTTTAGTTGTCCTGAGTATCCTCACTTACCAAGTAATAAGTATATTTCATATATATCTGCTTGAGCATCTCCTAATGAGAGCTTGATTGTTTACAGAGTAAATCTTCCTTTCCAACACAGAATCTTTTTCTCTTCCCATTTCCTAATATTTGATGACTAAATGCATAACATTTGAACTAGCAGAGTCTTTGAATTAGAATCAGTGCAGGCTCCTCCCAAGGAATTAAAGAACATGTTAGAAATTTGCCTGGGCACATGACAGATTATGGAAGTATCTACCTATAAAATAAGACTTAAGGTGGCCATAGTTCACACAAACAATACTAAAACTGGATTTTATACCTACATCTAAAAATGTAAGGCAAAAATGTTGTACATTGTGACTTTCCCTCTTCGAAGACTGCAATTCTACACAGAAGGTATCAGGCTGTTGTTGGCCTTATTTCATTTAAGAAAGTGAGACAAAAACTAATCGCTCTGAGGTCATTGCAAAAAGTCAACATCTGGAGGTGAGATATTAACAAATATTCTGAAGAGCTAGAAAACCAAGATAATATAAATTAAATAGGCCATAAAGATAGTATCACCCAAAGTTATGGTTTATAAAAGTATTGCTGATAGGACAACATTTTTCCTCAGTTGGCCTTGAAATTAAAAAGTATCTTCCAAGTATAGTCAAGGATATCAGGGATTTTTTTCTCAGAGAAATGTAATTGGAACATTGTGAGGACAAATAAAACTAATACAGCAGGCTGGGGATTTAGCTCAGTGTTTCCGCAGCCTGCCTCACAAGCACAAGATCCCAAGTTTGATCCCTGGTACCAAAAACAAAAACAAAAACAAAAAAACTAATATAGCAATCCTCAGTTCACAAATCTTTCTGTTTGCAAATAATTCGGTTCACAAATAGAAGCGTTCAGCAAAATTTGACTTCCATTCTCAAGCTCCACATCAGGTGATGAACATGAATGTAACCATCTTCCCCAGAATCATGCAACAAAATAAATTCTTGAACCAAAGTATCACTGTAATGGTGTTTCGGCCCCTAATACTTTATGCTTACTAATTCAGTTCCCTATAACTTGATTTAGAGATGGAAATGCCCTAAATGTAGACATATTCTGACTAAATTGGAAATTATAATTCTTTCTGTAGTTTAAATTAGTATTTGGTTTATCAAGCTACTCAGGAGGCTGAAATAAACAGATCACAAATTCAAGGCCAGCCTGGGGAACATAGCAAGATCCCATTCTCCAGCTTTTTTTTTTTTTAATTTTTGCTTTATCAACTAAGTATCTTGGATAGTTTCTGATCTTTTGAATAAATTGATCAAATAAATCTTTACCCAAAAAGTTAGATCCATATTCTTGATTCACCAAACTATAGATACCCGCTTCCAAATAGCCAGCCAATGTAAGTGACACCTTTGCATTGCTATAGGTGAAAATCAGAGTCCGATGTGAAATCTTAAAAACAAAGTGTGATCAAAAGCTATAATATTTCAGTTTTGAAGAAATTGAAAGATTTGGAGCATTTGAAGGAAAGATGATAAGCCTGACTTGTAATGAACCTACAATTTCTGTACATTTGGGATGCCTTTTCTCGCCACTGAGACACCATACCCAACACCCACAAGTTAAAGGTAGAAAGGTTTATTATAGGTCATAGTTTATAGAGGTTTCAGTCCACAGTCAGCTGGTTCCAGGGCAGGGAAGCATAGCAGAGGGGCGTGGCAGAGGAGAAAGAGTCCATGGCATAGCAGGTAGGAGGCAGCCAGCAGCAGTTAAGTCTCTATTCAGGCTACAAGCTTATTGGTTTTTTTCCATTCAGGCTACGAGTCACATGCCCTTAATTCATGTTCACACACCCTAGATCCAGCCACCTCCAAAAAGCCCAACTTTTGAGCACATCTAGATACAAGCCATAATGGGGTAACGTGTGATTCATTTTCAAAGAACTTATAAACCTCTGCTAGCAAGTACACTAGCTTATTTCATGCCTTATTTAACAACAACAAAGAATGGATATTATATATTAATCTAAACCCATTGCAAAGGTTAAAAAATAACTTTTAAACATTTAAATGGTGCTCTTTTAATCTAATCTTAGATTGTGAATCCTAGGTTAAACAACTAGTTCAGGGTAATCAGTAGAACGGTCAAATTTTATATTCCTTTCTTTTGTTCTCATTTCTTTGTCTAATTAAGTTGATTTGGAAAATCTCAAAATCTCCCAGGGACTAGTCTATCTACAGAGGTGGCTTTCGTGAAACAATATGGATTATTCTATACTCAGGTAACTCAGCTAGACATACACGAACTAATCATCTCAGGGCTTTGGAGATTGTCAATTTTGTGGTCAGGAGAAGAAATATATGATTTAAACTGGAATGGCAGTAATAATACACAGGCTTTGGTAACTAGCTCTGACTCAAATTAACTGTGGGACTTGGAACACCCTTTCAATGTAACTGAATTACTGTTTCTTCCTTTGTAAAGTGATGGAACTTTGTACTTATGTAAAGTTCCTTCTAATGACATAATTCTGTGTTTTCCTATAAGCTTTCTCCAGTTAAAAGCAACATTTAAAAAATTTACCCTTAAAATTCATGTTAAGGATTTAAACTGACCCATGGGAGAAAAAAAGATTATGAATTTGGTTTACTTACTGTGTTAATTACCAAAAATGGATAAGGGATTTCTAAGGATTTTTGTAGGAAAATATTTATTGGAATATTTTAGATATACATAAAGAAAACATTTATCATAGGAATTTTGTACCAGTACATGATATGTCTAATGAAGCATTTTTTGACAGATTTTCTCATAAGACAACTTAATCAGAGTAAAAGAAGATCTCAGGAATGACAATATAATCCAATATTTTATACAAGACAGTGCACCAAGATAGACTCATCAATTAAATATCTGGGCTCTTATACAATATTGTTTACTAAGCTTCTACTAAATCCCCAAGCCTGGGGTTGGTTGGTTAAAATAAAAAGATAAACAAGACACAGTCTTGTGCCTCAAAGAGCTCACCATCTGGTTAAAGAGAGAGCTGAGTAAATTGATAATTACAATATAGTTCATTAAGTGTTATGATAGAAGAAAGAGAGCCTAGAACAATGACTCCCAAATCTAGCTCATATTAGAATTTCCTGGGAAGCTTTGCAAAACTACAGATGCTTATCTCTCAGAGATAATAATTTAAATAATCTGGGGAAAGACCCAGTGAAACGCTAGTGTTTAAAGCTCACTAGGGGATTTTAATACACAGATTTGAGAATAACTGGGGTAAAAGAGCACTAAACTCAGTCCTTAAGAAAAATAGGCAATGGTGAAACAGACAAGGAGACAAAAATCTTTCAGCTTTGTGAATGGAGATAATAAAAGTCATGGCACTTAAGAGGAACTTTATGTTTGTAGAGCTCGATGTAAGATATATGAAGGAAGGGGGACAATGAAAAATGAGTCTGAGGAAGTAGGCAGGAGGCAGATCATTTATGGTCTGTGAAGGAATTTAGACTTTATAATAAAGTCAGTGAAAAACCAGTAGGGGAGTGACAAGTTCTCATTTCTCTTTCTAAAATGATATCTTCAGTAGTACTGCGATAGATGGATTAGGGAGACTAGAAGCAGGGAAACTAATTAAAAGAAAGAGGGGCTAAGTAAGGAGGTAGAATCAACAGGGCAATTGGATCTGGTTGGTGAGAGAGTAAGAGCAGTCTAGAGAACATGATTTTCTTCATTTTGTAGATACTCATTTGCCAGCAGTGAATCTGCCTAAGATTAAAGACCTCATAGGTAAGGAAGAACTCCTATTTAAAAATTTAACTACATACAGTGTGGTTTGAATCTAGTCATCTGAAATCTAAAAGCGAACAAAACAGTCAGAGGCTGTTTATAATCCCTAAATGACTAAATTCTGACACGCTTAAGGCCAAGCATCTAACATTTCCACCCAGATTGGTGGGGGAGAGAGAGGAAAACACACTGAAACAAAGATTTGAGAGACTTTAATTAACACAAACGGCTGTGCCTAGTCTTTAAACCTGTCCAAAGCAAATGGAGTGAAAGCTTTCTAATCCTTCTGAGTTTCATCTGGCAGTGACCTCAGAAAAAAGAGCCTCCCTCCTACATCATCACACTGACTTTCTTTAGCTCCTTGTTGTTCTGTGCAGGCTTTTGATCCTAGGATTCTCTGTAATAGAAAAAAAAAGATAGTTCAAACTATGAGGGCAGATCTTCAAAAATTATTAAATTAGAATGTATGTCAACAACTCCATTGAAGCGCCTAGGGTGAGCCTTGTACCTTTTCCCCCAAAATAAGACCTAACTGGAAAATAATCAGCCTTGAAAACTAGAGATCAAAAATGCCAGCCCCAGGGCTGGGAATTTAGCTCAGTGGTTCCACCGCCCACCTTGCAAGCAGAAGGGCCCGAGTTCAATCCCCGGTACCAAAAAAAAAAATCAAAAACAAAAATGCCAGCCCCAATCAGCCTATCCTTGCCCATCACCTGCCTTACAGAGTAGCCACTAACCAAGAGAATAGTGATGGCAGGTAAGGCAAGAACAGGCTGATTGGGGCTGGCATTTTTGATATCTAGTTTTCAAGGCTAATTACTTTCTGGTTAGGTATTTTTTTGTTGTTTTTTCTTTTTTTTTGGTACCAGGGATTGAACTCAGGACCTTGCGCTTTCGAGGCAGGGGCCAGAACCACTGAGCTAAATCCCAGCCCTGGTTAGGTTTTGTTTTGGGGGAAACAGGTCTAGTAAAGTTCTTGTCTAGCATGACCCTGGTTTGCCTAGGCTTGTTAGCAATCCCCAACACCACAAAAACAAACAAACAAACAAAAACAAATACATTACAAAAATCGACTTCGACAATCTATTCAATCTTTTAAAATTGGGGATTTTAAAAAAGAAAGTAGGGCTGGGGATTTAGCTCAGTGGTTCTGCTGCCTGCCTTGCAAGTGCAAGGTCCCGAGTTCGATACCCGGTACCAAAAAAAACAAAAACGAAAAACCAAAAAATAAAAAATAAAAAAGAAAGTAATTCTCACCACATTGGGTTTATTTCTGTCGAAAGTTGTTTTGCTCATAGTTGTGTCCATAGTACCTGATGCAAAACATGAACAAAATAAGAGCTTCTTTTGAGAAAAGAATCTAGATACTGAATTGCAAAATATTAACATTCATCATAGTATATACTTGTATTATTGTAGGCTAGACTCTATGAATTTTCTGTTTTAAAAAATAACTTCAAGTGTCATTTAAAGTTGGAGTAGTGGTCCTTTTTTTCTATTGAAAAATTATACCCTTGTGGGGGGACCATTTAAAGATTACATGCAAATAAAAACAACTTGGAGAGTCTACAAAATGTACTTCTAATACAACACTTAAATGAAGAAGTGAAATGATAACCCAGACATCTGTTCCATAAAAACAGTCAATTCTGATTAGCAGAAAACAAAAGAGAAAGGTAAGGGTAAGAAAGGGGGAAGAGAAAGGGGAGGCAGGCAAAATGATAAGGCACAGTCTGAGTGGGAGAAGGGAGATGATAAAAGTGGGAATAAGGGGGAATCATAAGGTGCTATGTAGACCCCATAGTGTAGGTTAGAGTTGCCAGACTAACATCTAAGACATTCAGTTAAATGTGAAGTTCAATGAACACCAATAATTTTTTAGTATCAGTATTTCCCATGCAATATTCAGGACGCATTGACACTAAAAAATTATTGTTTATCTGAAATTGAAATTTAACCAAATATTCTTTTTATTAAATATGACTACCCTATCCTAGACATCCTGAGTGTGCAATGCAAACAAATTGAATCTATTGGTACCCCACTAAAACAATTCTGATAATAAGGATACAGTTTAGTTGTGGGCTTTTTTGGTATGGGAGATTGAACTTGGGACCTTGCGCTTGCAAGGCAGGCGGTGGCACCACTGAGCTAAATCCCCAGCCCGAGTTTAGATATTTGAAGCTTCAAACTTTATATTTAGGAGAAAAAAAAGGATTCTACTTTCTCCCTGAACCTAACTTTAACATTCAGTTGGTTCAGGTTGCCTAAAAATTTATGAAAGCCTGTACTTGAGAACAAAACCACTTATTAAGGGCCTAGAGTTAAGGTAGCTGTGGTTTTCTGCCCCTGCCTTTGAACATTTTAGTTTAACACTACTATTTTTCCTTCAGAAGCACCTGCTAAAGTGTATTGCAGCCATCTGGAAGAGTAATAGTAAAGTGAAGGGAAGGTTAAAGATGGGAGGAATGACTTCCTTTCAGAGCAGAGAATTGTTGCGTACGTAAGATCTCAAGAATATTCACGTCCCATCTCTTGGGCTTTCATCTGAATTCATAAGCGTAACATAATATCCACATCCAGCCCTCAGGTTCTTCTCAAAGAACTTTCTGTTTCTTTTCAAAGAGCTGAAGATAATGCTACGAGTTGGGGATGGAAAAGAGAAAAGGTTGTCAAAATCAAATGTCTTATCACAAGTTATATTATTACTGAAGATAAATTTCTTCTTTATACACCAGCCGCTGTGATAGGAAATTCAGCTGAATTTAGAGATTGCTTAGTGCATATGCTCTCTAAGATAGGTCACCAATAAAGTCCACAAACTGTTCTCTTAATCCTACAGAAGCCAGGAAGGAGCTGCTGAACACCCTGAGTCAAATTATAATTTTATAAATCTCCTTAAATGTGACCTGTTTCTGGAAAGACCCAAGCAAAGATTTCTCCCAAGGTGTAAACAATAGGAAAGTGTTTCTCTCTTTTAGAAGACTACGTGATGCAGATATGCTAAGCAGATAAGACTGACAATGGTAATGCTACATCCAAGCCTCAAGAGAATTCTTGTGTAGAGCTTGGTTGAGTTATAACAAAGTCAGCAATATTTGCCAACCAAGTAGATCATACCGCTGCAACTCAGCCAACCAGCACGCTGGACAGGGGGAGGAGGGATTCTTGGCCAAGGGCAGTAGGGTAAAACCTCCCTCTACTGGGAAATGCCCAGAACTGGGGGCCTGTACATTGATTTGCTGGGAGGTGTGTCCAAAATTGCATTTCATCTTTTCTCTAAGACAGGTTTATAGATTTCAATTTTTTTGAAGCTAAAAGAAAAGGAAGATAATTGGAGCACTATTAAATACTTAAACCCCTGCAATTTCCCATTTTTACCTAAGTGTCCTAATCGCCCAATTTATCTACGGTAGAGAGAAACAGTATTAGATAAGAGTTGAGGAGGAAGTGGATTGTGACTATTTTTTGGAGCAGAGAGCCCTGAAGTTCAGGGACTAGAATAATAGATAAGGATTATGTGGTAGAATATTGAATTTAATATGATTTAATTAATGCTGTCAGTAATACATCTTGTACCATAGATTATGACACAAAACATCAATAGGTTGTTTTTTTGCTTTTTAAATTTGGTATATAAATGTGGTGCATTTTGTCCTAAGGGTAACAGAAACTCAATCTGTTCCACAGCCGCGTCAGGCTTCCGGAATTATCTGTTTAAAGTGGACTCGAAGCCTGGCTGTGGTTGGTGCCATCTACTGGGAGAAATGTGGAATTACATATATCTCAACCCATTTTGTAACCATGTTTTCTTTGCTATGGAGTAAATCATCAGCTTTGGGAAGTGAATATCATTCTTCAACGGGAGGATAATACTTTCAACAGCTGAAAAGTTTGGATTTAAATCATAGCTTGTAGGGCTTGAAGAGGCATGAGGAATCCTGTACTTTAATAACACTGCCATAGTCTAGAAGAACTAAACTTTACATATGGAGGGAGAAGCCTAGCTTCTCTGAATTTATTTCTTGTTCTATAATTTGTGTTGCATAGAATCATTGTAAAGTTACAAAAAGGGAGAAGTTCTTAACATGCTCTGTAAAGTGCTAAGATTGTTTTAGACAGAGAAAAACTTGAAATTAAATGACTTGCTTGGGTCATGTAACAGGGCCTGCAACTCATACACATTACTCTAAACCCAAAGCTTTTTTTCAATAATTTACAACTTCTGAAAATATGATGGTGAAATGATTTGAAGTACAACTATGATAAATTTAGGTGGCGTAGAAGCACAGTATTCAATACTATAAATCGCAGGGGGAAAATGATCCCTTTTTCAATACTTTAAAAATTTGATGGCATCAAGGAGAAAGTACCAATTTGATGCTTGCTTTCTTTTAAATTCTGATTTTATAATCTCATTTTCAAAAATAAAATGGGCCTCAGGCTTGAATATCTTGTTAGAACATCAAAATTTTGGGTTTTTTTATACTTATTGTTTGTATACTTATTAAGTTTTTGTATAATTATTAAGGGAAACTATACTGGTTTTTCAATTAAAATAGTAATGTACATTTTATTTTGAAGTAATGGATTTATGAAAAAAGAAGTTACTGTAGCAAAAATTGAAAAAACAATAGTCAAAGTGACATATAAAGTTAAGAAACACTAAATACTTCTCTACCATGTCACTGTTGACAATTATCTCAATGCAATTTCCTTTAACATTCTTCCATGACGATAGCTAATATTTTTTTGTTTTAATAAAAAAGTGAAACACTAGGTATTGTAAATAAGCAAACATTCAGGACCCTGTTAGATTACAGATACACTTGGGCTCAAACAAATCCTAAAATTTTGAATATATGTGTTACAAAATGAAATTGATCTATGACCAATGCTCAGTGAACGCATAATAAAACACAGGACCAGGGGGTCAGCTATGTCTGTGGCTACATTAGTAACAACATTGGTGGTAACTGAACAGTATAGTACCCTCTCTTCCTTTCTTTTTGTTGGTTTGTATTTTTTGTTTTATTTATTTATTTTTCTGGTACTGGGGATTGAACTCAGGGCCTTTGCACTGAGCTACATCCCCAACTACAGTCCTTTTTATTTTTTATTTTGAGACAGTATCTTGCTGAGTCTTGTGATCTTATCTCAGCTTCCCAGACTGCTGGGATTACAGGTGTGCACCACCAATCCTAGCTACTGCCCTATCTTTTATTTCTTTAGGATTTTAAGAGAAGAAAAGGAGATGAAGGAGAGAAGGGATGACTGATGGGTCGTCCCAGTTAGATCTGATTCAGCGTTTTGCAAGCAAGGAAAAAAAAATCCAGTGATGCACTCAAGTTGAATTGAATCCTTCACTATATACTAATTTGGGCTTGAATCTGGAATTTTAAAACTTTTGGATCTTTATGTGGATCCCTTTGGATAACCTTTAGCTAATTTTGAATGAGATAAACCAGGAATCTTTCTGTCCTCTTCATAACCCTCCTTTCCTCTGTCTTTTTAATTTGTATCTTAACGACTTTATATTACTTCTGGTTGCACTCTAGGTTTTTTCTTTCCAGCTATCTGCTGTACAATTCTTTTCAAAATATAAGTTAAAAGAGAAATATATGAGAAATGCTGCCTGAAGGATAAATAGTTGATGTAGTTCTCTAGATTTTCAAAGTTTTACCTATGAATCAAGGCAGAGTGTTAATGTGGTATGTGACCAAATTATTTTGAGTTGATCTATCTCCTTTAAAAAATTTCAAATTAATAATTTGCTATCAAGTTGTGCTAAGGAACAGATAAGAAACATCCTAGAAAATTTAGATTCAGAATTCATTTAAAAATATTGTTGAGGATATTGATGGCTATTATCATATACAGGGTCCTGTCCCCATTATGGGTATGTAGAAGACAAATTTCTTTTAGGTCTCAATACAAGCAAAAGCTATGTTTTGCTAAGCAATTGGTTTGTTGTTACATTGTGGACAGTGTAAATCCATGTTTCTTTTTGCTGGGGAATTCAGAATCAAATTTATTGCCTATCTCTACCAACCATATAGTACTTCCATCATGCATTTTCACATATTTTTCCCTTTCCTTTAATTTACTCATTTTTTATTTAATCCTATGTGTTGTGTGTGTGATATTTATAAGCTTTCAAGCCTTTTGTGGAATAAGACTGAATAGAAATTAGAAACACCACTGCTGATAGAACATTATCATCCCTTAGCTACAATTTCTCATTGCATGTCTGTTATACAGAGTTCAGACTCATAGATATATGAAAATTTAAGAAAATTTCTTTATTTCTCAGAGCCATTCCTCTATTCTGCTTTTTTATTGTTGCTGTTAGTTTTGTTTTGTGTTTAGACAGGTTCCCGTTATCTAATCCAGGTTGGCCTTGAACTTTGTGGTTTGCCTGTCTCAGCTTTCTGAGTACTAGGATTACTACTATCTTGGCTTTTTATTAACTTTTTTCTACAAAACTATATGTTTTCCTGTAATGATGCCATAAATTCTGTAGGGGAAATCGCTGAAACTCCTAGAGAAACAACGGGTTTGGTGAAATTCACAGCCACTGTCAGATGTCTATCCCCTTGATCTTCTGCTCTGAAGTAGCAGAGTCTACTACTATAAGATTCATGAAATGAAAAACTCTAATTCATAGAAAAAGGGAAAAGATGAGAAGGAAGCTAATATCTTATAGAGTATCAACTCTGTTATCATTTACATATACTAAGTACCTAATATATTACTTTATTTTTACAAAAGTAAGCATAATTTCCTTCAGAGAGAATTCTTACATTTGTACAAGAGCTTCTGAATACTATTAATAATGATGACAGTGAAAACATTTATTATACCACTAACATTTAACTCTCTGTATGATAGGTATTGTGTTACTTTACAATCAATGGATTCTCCAATGTTAACAAACAAAACAAAACCTCAAACTGTCTACTTAGGATACTCTACCTACTTTGGGATTGTGGAAGATTTTAAAATGCTTGCTTTGGCTCAAAACTCTGCTGTAAGTACAGTGATAATTTCAGGTCATTGGCCTTCTGATAGTTCTTCAAGGCGTCAATTCTCAATTCAATCACTTTTCCGTGAAAGTCATTCTGAAAGAAGACATTTTTCAAAGCTACTCATACAATATTGGTTTTTCTAAATCCACTGTTACCTGAATGTCTTTTATGCAGAAGTTAAAAAATAAACCCCTTCTGGTCAATCCTTTAAAGTTTGGCAGTAGTATATGTTATCCACCCTCACCTTGTTTCAAAGAGAACAAAGTCAATGACGTAGGATGAAGTACTATTTATTCCAAGTAATTCAAGACAAAGCTAGAGATAGGTCACTTCAGCTACCTCCTGGTGATGCATTTCTTTTAGCAGCACAGCTTGTAACCCAGGATGAGGGGATTGGGCTTAAGCTAAAAGTCTTTGTATAAACAAAATTGTATTCCATGTCCAGCCTTGGGAGACCTTAATACCTGAAGGCTGTTGGCTTGTTCCTGATACTTGACCCATTCCATTTTCCTCTGTTTCTTTTCCTGGTGGAAGAAAGAGCCTCTGGGTGATAAGGTAAATTGAGATAAAAAAAAATCAGTTTTCTCAATTTGCTGCAGAAACTTTATAGTGAAATTATGCTGTCTTAGGTTCACTATTAGTTTGGCTTCAGTTGCAAAATTGTCTTAATTTGCCTCCTCTGTGCAATCCACTCTCTCAAAGCTAAAAGATAAATGAACAGGCCATTTTCTGTGAATAAGTTGATTATGGGAAGATGAGATACAAATATAATACCCCCACATAAATTTTCCAAGGCAAATTAACAAGTGTTCTGACATCACATAGTTATTGTGGAGTTGTCATTTTTGGTGTAGCTTTTCTAACTTTGTCCTAGCTAAAATGATTTCTTGGAAATTTGTGATGTCACTCTTAACTCAAACATAATATTCCAGGAGAACCAAGTTGCTTATAAAAATTTATATGGTTCAGGAACATATCATAGCTAATATATCTAATTTATCAGTTCCAAAAAAACACTACCATCCTTATCTCCTTCACTTTCTCTGCAAATGGTATCTCCAGTTCATTCTTGGATTTTTAGATGATAAGGGAGTTTTAGAAACCTGGGGTGAAAGTAGAGAACTAAAGGAATAGGAAGTCCCAAGAAAAAAGTTCCATGTCTTGAGAGACCATAAATCCAATACATCCTAAAAGCCTGGATACTCACTATCTGACTACCAAAATTAGCCTTGATTGTCAAGAGTCTGTTTCCAGTACTTGACATTCTAAGTACATGCAGTCCACTTACCTTTCCATCCTGCAAGTCTGCCTTGGTTTTTATCTGTGGTGCTTTTTGTTGATCATCAAGTTCTTCTGTCTCCAATGTCTGTGGAGAAATATTTTGGTAAATCTTTAAATTAGTGGGAGTTAATGAGAGAAATAGAAATCCACAGTGAGGCTTTTGGTTCCTGTCGGCAACTTCTCAGGGCCCAACATGGAAATTGTACTATGTACTAAAGGGGATTCAGAATATAATGAGACCTTCCTTTTGGTACCTTAAGTGTATCTTACAATAATAAAAGTTATTAATTGAACCTTTAGTACATGTCAATCACTAAGCTACTTACTACATTACTTTCACTATTTTACTACATTATAATCATTTTCATGTTATTCACACAGCTCTTTGAGGGATACTTTTACTTCCATTTTACAGGTGAGAAAATTTAGACTTGGAAAGGTTATGTCATATGTTTAGGGTTATACAGTGACAGACCTGGAGTTTAACCAGATCTTTCTGGCTCTAAAGCCCATGTTCTTAGCCACTAGTCATGCTGTTCTTCTCCATTTCTCCTTGTCTAAGGATGGGTAGGATGAGCCAGCCATGGCAGCACATGCTGTCAATCTCAGCACTCAGGAAGCTGAGGTAGGAAGATTGCCACCAGTTCATGGCTACCCTGGGCTACCTAGTGAGTTCAATGCTTACCTGAACTACATAGTGAGATCCTATCTCCAAAAAAAAAAAAAAAAGATCAAGACAGAGCATACTGCACAACATGCAGAAAAGAATGGGCTACCTAGTGAGTTCAATGCTTACCTGAACTACATAGTGAGATCCTATCTCCAAAAAAAAAAAAAAAAGAAAAAAAAAGGAAATGGGTAAGTTGATCACAAGCTAAGTTGTATGGACATCCATTATAAAGAATAATTTGGGAGGGGGCTGGGGATTTAGCTCAGTCGTGCCGCCACCTGCCTCTCAAGAACAAGGTCCTGAGTTCAATCCCTGGTACAAAAAAAAAAAAAAAATTGGGAGCCTTGGAAAAGCTAGGTTGCACTGGACTTACCATCATGTCTCAAGAATTTAGGAACTAAAGCTTCTGACACTTTGCAGAACTGATCAGTAGCTGCTGCTGAGAACAGATCTGTTCTGCAGATCTCAGCACAAGGTGCAGGACTTGGAGGCATCCTGATTATTTCTGGAAAGGTGAGATGGAAAAAAAGCAGTCAGAGATCACACCACATGCCTGTTTTTATCACAGGAAAAATCTGCTCTTCTAGTTGCATAATCCATGAAAAAGCACTTGGGTGCCATGGGCTAGTCCACAAAGGAACGCCCTTTCCTGGTTTCCCAGCCAAAAAGCAAAGCCCTAAACTTGTCATTGTGATGCAGTGATTGTTGTGAAATTATTGAGTTAGGCATTCATTTGTTCGCTTATTCAACTTACATTTATTGATTCTCTACTATGTTCCCAGGATTATGTCAGATGTTAGGGATTCAAACAGAGCAACCAAGATACAGGAGGAGCTTGTATCCAAGCAGGGGGAAACAAGAACAAGAAAAAATGCATATATATTATTTTAAAATAACAGTAAGTTTGTACTATGAAAAGTGCAATGGAGGACATGAACTGAGTGGTATAATGGAAACCAGGAGGATGCTCTATTTTAGATGGAGTAAACAAAGAGGCCATTTATGAAGAGGTGATACTTAAGTGGAGACTTGAAGGATGAGGATGAGCCAACTGTGAGAAAACAGTATTACAGGTGGGGTTAAACCAAGAACAGAGGCCTTGATCTTGAAGACATTGGTGTAGGAAAAGATTTTATGAACAAAACCTCAGTTGCCCATGAACTAGCACAAACAATCAACAAGTGGGATCTCTTCTTATTA